ACAGACAACCTCTCGTCAATATGCGTTTTTTGCATTGCATTACTGCAAAAAACGCATAAAAAGCTAACGAAAAGTGCATAAAGCAATATAGCGGTTTAAAAAAAGAACTGCACGAGTACCATTACGATTTTTTTTTGCAGAAACGATGGAGCCTCGTGTGAATATTGCTATAGCCAGTATTGTATCGGGCGCAGTAATCCTGACTTGCATTTACACTGTAGCATTGCTAGTCGGTCAAATGAATTCCTTGTATGACGAAGTAATGAATGATATGCAGCAAATTAAAGTGATTTTCGATTCAGACTTTTATTTATTTTTAATAAAAAATGTTTGTATGCAATTTATGTACATAATTTTGATATTGTAATTTATGGCGCCTTTCTCCACATCTATGCAGCTGACAACTTTTCCAATTGCTTTTACGAATTCTGCATTGCCTGGTGGTCAGACTGCCGAGAATCCTGATATTCGTTTCGTCTCCTGGACGAACAGCTTGCTTATTGGTTCCTTTGACAGGAGCACTTTGAAAAGATTTGACTGCTTTGAGAAGATGCCCCTTTTTTGTGCTGAGTATTTTGTATCAGGCAATACATGCAGAAAAGATGTTCCGGGAAAAATCCACTTCCGAAAAAATTTTTTATACGAATCTCAATTCGTTCCAGGAACTGATGATGCACAAATTTACAGGCTATCAACGAAGATGCCTGGGATGGAATGATGCAGTTGCAAGCCAGAAAATCGGCTAGCACAAAAAAAATTTTGCAAATTCAACAATTTTTTCTCGGTCAAATTCGAAGGACGAAGCGAGAGTTGTCTGTACAGTGTGGTAAAATTTCTTTTCTTTTCGATTTGCTAGGATTTTGAAAGAATTTAGAAAATCACCTACTCTCCAGGAAACAGCCGGATCTAGCCCGAGTGATGTCATATGTCGCGGCAACTAGCCGCTAGCAAAGCTGTCAATTGCTCTCTCTTTCGAGAGTTGCTTAAAAGCAAGCTGATGGCAAGCTGACGTTGTGAACATAGCTGCTGTGTGGAAAAACTTAGGTAAATGCAAGCGGAAAGTCAAAAATCCAATAAATCCCTTATTCCTTTATTAAAGCAAAGTTATTTGTGAACATTCCGTAACTAACATTGGAACTTCCTCTTCCTCCGAGTCCCCCTTTCCCCTTCCACCCCTCCTCCGCTCCCCCGCGCACCCATCCGGACAGATTTGATATTCTTGCTATAAAATAGCATCAAAGATCACCCATAGGTTCCCAGTTGGAAATTCGATGAAGAAACAGTGACGAGTTATGAAGAGAGATTTCCTGTCTTGGCCATGCTGATTTTTGAATACTTGCTAATGGCTTTTCCAATACCGCATATCAGTACCAGGAATATTTGTTTTCAGAATGCGCTCATCGTCCAAATCGATGTCCACCGGGCCCTGAAGGTCCACCTGGAGAAAAAGGAGAACCTGGAGGCTTGTTTTTTTCGAGTGCTATTCACAATATGAATGCATATTTTGGTTAATTTAGCAAAAAATTCTCGCTGCCTGTCCGTCCATTTTTTTCGGGCGTTTTTATCTGCGTCTGCTTTCTCACCTTTGTTCAAATCTGATCTTGAAAAAAATTTCCTGAAAATTTCAAAAAGTTCAATATTTTCTATTCCAATTTGTTTTTTCAGATCCAGGCGAGCCAGGAACACCAGGTATTCCCGGGGCTGCCGGTATTGTTGGAATCTTAAATCTGCCGCAACCAGGCTGTGTACAATGCCCAGCTGGGCCGATAGGTCCACCAGGCCCTGTTGGGCAACCAGGTGAGATTGGACGTCCTGGGAAACCTGGTGCTGATGGGAAACCTGGAAGAGACGGTACACCAGGGCCACCGGGGCCACCGGGCGATGTCGGTGAACCAGGTGATACGTTTGTATTATAATGTGCTGTATGATTAGAAATAAGAAGCGGTAATAATAACAAGAATAATAATAACAATATCATGATAATGACAGTAATTATAACAATGACAACAATAGCAATAATAAGAATGATAATAACAGTAGTAATAACTGTAACAATAGTAATTATCTTTATAGTAACTGAATTATTGACGGCGGTAATGATAACGATAACAGTAACGATGTAAGCAGTAATTCATAAGAAAAGCTGTTGGCACCTACATTAATTTAAATGATTTAGGCA